TTCGGTTGCCCACAGACCATCACCACCGACCAGGGACGTCAGTTTGAATCCCAACTCTTCCACTCCCTGGCCAAGCTCTGTGGCATTCAACTATCGAGAACAACTGCTCACCACCCAGCGGCTAACGGACTCGTGGAACGTTTCCACCGAACACTAAAGGCAGCCATCATGTGCCACGCAGACCAACACTGGACAGAAGCCCTACCCCTGGTTCTCCTCGGAATCCGCACGGCATTCAAAGAGGACCTGCAGGCATCAGTAGCTGAGCTCGTGTATGGCGAACCACTAAGAATACCAGGAGAGCTGCTAACTCCGACTGCCAACCCAGTGGATCCAGCGCACCTCATCACCCAACTTCGCCAATATATGGCCCGCCTCAGACCAATTCCAGCAACACGCCATGCCTCCCCGGCTGCATTCGTGCACAGAGACCTAAAGAAGTGCACACACGTCTTCCTCCGGCAGGACACTATTCGCAGAGCATTGGAGCCCCCCTACAGCGGCCCCTACCAGGTCCTATCACGGAAGGACAAGACAATGCAAATCCTCGTGCGCGGCAGGTTCGTCACCGTGTCAACCGATAGGGTCAAACCTGCCCACATGTTAAACGAGACAGGCCGCGGGACCACCACCAAGACCTTCACCCCCGCAGCTGACGAAACCCCAACCGTGGTTCCGCATGCCATGGCATCACAGCCTGTACAACGAACTACACGCTCCGGACGTCATGTACATTTTCCTGATCGCTTCAACAGCTGAGCAACCATCTCCGCGGGGGGGTGATGTGGGAACTGCCCACAGTCAAGCAAGTGTGACAACGCAAACGTCATTGCTTAGCAACAACGAGTAAACAACGGTTGTTAGGCAAAAGCAAGTAAACAGCGGTTGCTAGGGAACTAGTAAACACGGTAACCGGCAATAGCAGCACCTATTACGTAACCGTTTTCCATATGTCCGACTCCAGGCTACATAAGAAGATACACTGACTTGCAGTGACAGTCTAGAGTCTAGAGTCTAGTTCTACCGTTCTACAATACTAGTTCAGTGTTCAAGCAGTTCACTATTGTTATCCATCTGTGTATACTGTGCAGCTGCAATAAATCCTATAGGGCCGATCAACTAGTGGTTGTCTCTTCATTCATATGACATCCCACACATAAATCGATACATGTTTTGACTGTGATTGGTAGAGTAAAAGGATTTCCACAGTGTTCTAGGTGTGTCTGTCAAATGCCATTACTTTAAAGCCAAGCAGCTGGGACCAAACACCTGCAAAACTTGCTATTCTTTACAAACGATCTAATTCAATTATGTTTATACAACTTATCTGCAATCTAAGGCCTTTACCTGGAGATATTATATTTCATGGTGTGGTGCCATGTTAGCACTTAAGAATACTTTCCTAGGACTCCTGACCTTGAATAAATCACAGAAGCATTAGGAGTCAAAGATCATTCCTATGATGCCTCTGAGATATGATGATTGTTATCAATATTGTGGCATGCTGCCAGAAAGCCGGAATGGTTGAGGAGATCAGAGTTGATTTACTAGGCAACAGCCAGCATTCCCACTGCAACGCGTTGGAACCCGAAAGCTAACAAACCTAAGAAATGACTTGTTCGAGGCAGTTGCATGAAAATGGCTGCAATAAACATGTATACTTCAGTGTAAATGGAATACCAGCAGGGCGTTGCCTAGGAATCGCTTAAACAACAAATGTGTTTTCCTGGAGATGAAGGGACAACAAGAGGTTCGTTGCATAACAGTGGGCAAAACCAAAGTCTCCTACATGGTGCATTCTATTCAGTCTGAGTGCATGTGATAAGAGTCCAGCTTCAACGAGACCAGTCAGTTTCTAGTGTAGCTCCGATTTGAGCAGAAACAAGCTCACATCCGACAAAGGACAGAAGACACTTCACCAAGATCAGCGGTGCAAATAATTATAAGAGTGAAGAGGAAACGTCTAAAGGACGTTATAAGTTGATAATAATTGTGTGTCTAAAAGATTCATCCATGATATGTACACAGTTGCAGTCTTGTAGTGCACTGAATTTCACCTGTTACTTCACGACATGTTTCGGCAACATAGTGCCATCATCAGGTGCCCTAATTACGCTAATCTATTTCATTGATTGCCTTTATAAAATTATTTAAAATATTTAAAAAGTGCATATTTGTCAACTATAATAAATTTACACACACTAATACTTGTTAAGATTATTCATCTTATGTGTCATAATTAAAACTTGTGTGTGGTTCTTCCACTATGGGGGTCGTTTTCCTTATATTCTGCGTAAACCATGTCTTGTGATGTGTGTTCCCTTCTTAGCTGCGAGTGCACTTTTTAAATATTTCAAATAATTTTATAAAGGCAAGCAATGAAATACGAGTAGATTAGCATAATTAGGGCACCTGATGATGGCACTATGTTGCTGCAACATGTCGTGAAGTAACAGGTGAAACTGAGTGCACTACAAGACAGCAACTGTATACATATCATGGATGAAAATCAGTGCAACAGGACACTAAAATACAACAGTATAAGAGATTGTCCAATAAACAGCCAAATCTGAGACCCACATGAATTTACTTGTCACATTATATAGGCAACATGCAACAATATTAATTAATAATGTGGACAAAATGATTATAAAGCTAACACGCTTATAACTAATAATATCTGCCTCTTTCATGTTGACTTGGTACTTACGCTTAATTTCAAAGCTTCAATTCTGAATGGCAGTGAGGGTGTTTCAATTTCACACTTTCTTTCATTGGTTGGAGATGACGGAAATATGGACGTTATCCCATTGGTGCTTCGAGTAACACCATTTGAACTAGCTGCAAACCCATTGGTACCATTTCGGAAGCCATTACTATAGCCATTTGATGAACCACAATGCTCTGAAATTACAAATGGACTCTGGCTGACATAACAACATACCTGAAGGATGGCTAACTTAAACTTACATGCCTTGTGTTTTCAAGTTGTTTCAAGATCATTTACAATCTGATATTAGCTGGATATAAAGAGCAGTAGGAAATGAAACTAAGTAACTATGCCACACACGTGGTAGAGTCATTAAGTTGTGGAATGTGGTTTTATCGCATCATATGACATGGTATTCACATACACTTACACAGAGCCACATCGACCCTCAAAATAGTTGCTGTTGGCTGCTATGCAAGTCTACCAACGTTGATATAGCTGACGAAAACACTGCTGAAACATATTGGCAGGAAGTTCCTGTATAGTGTCTCCTGTGGCAATGACCACCTCCTTGGACGACCGAAATCTACGACCACGTAACTTTGCTTTCAAGTGGTGAAAGAGAAAGAAATCGCATGGTGCGAGATCAGGTGAGTACGGAGGGTGTGGCAAAACAGTGACCTGTTCTGTTGCCTTGTCAGTTCCTCTTGGACAAGAACAGAGCGATGTGCAGGGCGTTGTCGTGTAGCAACAGCCAATTCTTCGCACGCCAAATGTTTCGCTAGGGAATTTGCTTAGTTTTTGGCAGAACTTGATGTCCGCCCATTGTTCAAACTGCCACATTTTCAATTTCAGCCACTTGCATTTAACAGCAGTTCACAATAGAGGTCATAGTTCTACTTTCACTATTTGCGCACAACTGCCTGTTGCTGTGACAAGAGATGAGCGAACAGGGCATCATATCGTGCCTCAATCTATCCGCTGCAGTGCACTGCGACGACGCTTTGCGGCCATTCCACGAACTTATTGACTGTGGTAGTATATAACTGACCTATGAATGGCTTATTGCCAATATGAATAAAAGATTTACTGCATCTCACATATGGCACTTACTGTGAAGATTAATGTCTTCAATATCAAATATCTTTCACTTCCACTTCGTGTTTATCTGCAACACTTTGTCTTCTTAGGCAATGATGAACACAATAAATCTAAGACATAATTATGCATAACATTTACCTTTAAATGTTCTCAGGCTGTCAAAATTAATGGCCTGAATGTCAAATTTCTTTGGTTTCCGCTTGTTGTTTATGTCAAACAAATATATCTGCTCTCCCCCTAAATTGACCAGCAACTCATTGCCATCTGCACTGAACGTTAAATAAGTTGAGGCAAGGTTCCTGTACTTCTTCCGGTAGTCCTGTTGTTTCACTGGAAGATGCCCTAGTAACAACACAGATAGAAAACCTGCAGCAGTTGTAACTCAATGTGCCATAACTTACTAAACATTCAACCAAGCAAACTGGTTCAAGCAGTAATCTGCTGACTAGTGTCTGGGAGGTCCCTGGCTCATATCTTGGTGGGAACACAAACTATTCTGGCAAAGATGTTGGTGGTTTTCCTCAGTTCCTACAGGCAAATATTTGCACAGTACCTCAAATGAGGTCATGACACTCCCTTCCATGTCCTTTCTAGTTTATTATTCACTAAGTATCCTATAATTTGACATTATGCTATCTGAGCTACACTAACTTCGCCGACAAGTGGCGGTCGCTCGGTCTGTATAGTTCACTTGAGGACTACAGCCATGGAGTTTTTCTGTTGTTCATTTGAGCTACAATAAGTAATGTAACTACTATCCAAAAAAAATTGATTTGGTTCATCCTGGTCGATCACACTAGCAATATTATATAAGGTTATCAACTCTGTCCAGGATGATTGAAAAATGTTTCTTTTCTCCTTCTAAATCTTTTGTCCTTGACATGTTTCGGTCTGAGAGACCATCTTCAGAAGGACATATCCCTACAAGTGGAGTGTCGTCCCATCGTTTGGGCCGTGCGTCAAACAACGGAACCACGACATGGTAGACATTCAACTTCCTTTAAAGTGAGGTAATATAAAGGACATGAACAAAATTGGTTCTAAATTTTAAAAAAGTCTCTTTAAACCACACCTGTAAATAAACTAATTATAACAATTTATAAATATTTTAATATATTCATGCATATCACTGTAGCTGTTAAAGGCTCAGATTGTATATTAATGACAGTGTACTAATACTGTATATATGTACTGATATTGATAAATCACATGGTAATAGTAGTTTCTGCTGGTACTGATATGCCCTTCTGAGGATGGATTCTCAGACTGAAACATGTCAAGGATGAAAGATAAAAAGGAAGAAAAAAGTATCAATCACACTGGTTGGAGTTGATAACCTTTCGTAATAACTACCATTCAATTCCACGGCTGTCTATGTGAGATTTACAGTGGATAAACTGGTGTCAGATGGGGTTTCTCTCTGAGTGGTTTAGCTGTCCCTTACTTACTTACTTACTTACTTACTTATGGAGCTGAGCCCTACTTGAGCCACCAAATCTGCATCTACTCAAGGATTTCCCAGCATTTATGGAACCAAAAGGTCCATTACCATGTTCACAAGAGCCCTCCACTGGTCCCTATCCTGAGCCAGATCAATCCAATCCATACCATCCCATCATATATCTCTAAGATCCATTTTTGTACTGTCCACCCACTTACACCTTAGTCTTCCCAGTGGTCTCTTTCCTTCTGGCTTTCCCACCAATATCCTATATGCATTCCTCTTCACATCCATTCATACTACATGTCCTGCCAATCTCATCCTCCTTGACTTGATCATTATAATTATACTTGGAGAAGGGTACAAGTTATGAAGCTCCTCATTATGCAGTTTTCTCCGACCTCCTGTCACTTCATCTCTCTTTGGTCCAAATATTCTCCTCAACACCCTGAATCTATGTTCCTCCCTTAATGTCAGAGACCAAGTTTCACACCCATACAGAACCACAGCAAAATTATAGTTTTGTATATTCTAATTTTTATGTTTTTGTACAACAGACGAGAAGACAAAAGGTTCTGGACTGAATGGTAGCAAGCGCTACCAGAGTTCAATCTCCTCTTAATTTCCTCCTGAATCAGGTTTTGATTTGTTATTGTCATTTCAAAATATTGTTTAGTCGTCCGTACCAATCATTATTTCACAAGCACTCCAAACTCATCTTTCATTACCCACTACATGATGGACTAGGGGAATATGCTCATTAGAGGCTGCAGTGCCAACAGACCAACACTCACCCTTCTCCCATCACTAGATTATTTTCACTGTGCACGTGGTCAAGAAGTTCCTTGTTCTTATAAAAGCAGGAGTGTCATCACTCTATTAACAAATCCAGCCACTGGTCCCTATTCAGAGTCAGTTAAATGAGTACTATAATTGACACAGGTTTCCATAAAAATACTACAACTGTTGAAGCGTGCCGAGTCATGACAAAGTAACAAAGTCAAGAGGACACATAGAGTAATCAATTAGTTTCCAGACTGGCCATAGTATGACCCTACTGCAATTAGGATAAATCAAATAAATCTGCTTAGTGCAGTTATAGTGGAATCTGTCCAGCCATTTATTGTTCATTTTAAAGTTAAAGTTTTTGTCACTCAGAAGTAACCTCACGTGAAATGAAGTTGTGTGTTGTGACCTCTCCAATTTGAATTTTATCAGACAATGGGAATTTTCAAACAGCACAACAGAATTACTGGGTTTTTGGACTTTGTCCATCGCCCAGTCTTCTAAAAACACTAGATAATACGTCTCAGAAACTGAATCCGTTTTTGTTCTAGGGTGAGGGGGGAGACACCTACTTTGTTGGGTCCATTAGAAAGAGCTAACCTCAGTCAACAGTTAGCTATTTCCAATGAACCCAACAGAGTAGGTGTCTCCACCCCACTCACATGAGGATGGAAACAGATCCAGTTTCCAAAATGTTGTGTTCTCTAGTGTTTTTAGAATACCGGACATTGGACAATGTCCAAAATCACAGCAATTCCATGTGTTATACACAATTGTCAGAACCACTTAGAATCTAACAGCACACATGAAAAACTGCTACAGAAACAAATAGGATGTTGAAACTTGCTTTCAGAGATGAAGCACTAATCAAAACTCAAACATCTGATTGGTTTTCCATGTTCAATAATGGAGTGACACTGTTAGTGATTCTGAGCATTCAGGATATTCATCCGAGAGCAAAATGGAAGAAAATGTGGTGTGAATCAAGAAACTGTTCATGAAAACACATGCATCACTATCTACAACGTCATTAATGAGGTGGGAATCTCATCTGAATCATGCAGAGGCATTTTGATGCAAGACCTGAACATGTAATGGAATGCCACAAAATTTGTGCTGTGCTTGCAAAAGACAAATCATGTCAAGGTGTGTTACGACCTTCAGAAAAACTTCAGAGAGACTCAGAAGCCCTTTTTCAGATTATGAAACTCAAGTTGGCACTGAAGGGGAGGAGATTTGATATCATCAAAATTAAATATGCATCAGAGGATGCACTTGCCATATTCAACACAGAATTTCTGCATATGCTTCCCACAGCAACACAATCACTGAACATTCTGAAGAAGAGAGCATGGTATAGACAGTGAACGCAGTTATCACAGAGAAAAAAATACAATCCAGAAATTATCTGAATATACATCATATCATGCACACAGTGCAGATTAATACATTTTATCCACAAAAAGAAATATCAAAACAGATCCATTAATATTTTTTGACACCAACCTGCAACATAATACTGAACACAGCCATGGGGTAGGTTATCTTCCAACTCTCCTTCTCCAGCTCGAGAGGCCATGTAGTTTTGGCGCTCCCAATTGGAGCGAGGCACATTGTCTGGTGGATACTGAAATCAATACAATCAAAAAACAAATAATATGGCATCCAACTATATTCTCACATGTTGTATTCACAAAATTTAAAGATTAATTAAAATTATATTCTACCTAAAATGGGATGAGTTAATTTTTTTGTCACAGGTTATTTCATAACACTTTCAGTATTGCGACTACATAGCACTGGGGATGGGATGATTGTGGAAACATTTAAGGAAGCAGTCATAACCTAAGGCACAATCCCAATGTCTGTCATGATCGACTGGGGGNGGGGAAGAACCTACCAAAAAAAAAAAACTCAATTAGGACAGCTGATGTTTTGGCTGAGATTCAAAATGAGCACCTACAAAATACAAGTCTAGACTGTTACCTCTAGACCAAGCTGCTCAGCTGGGGAACATATGACACAAAACATAAAATAATGATTACAACACTGGTCAGTCCGCAGTTCAAAGGGCATACAAACTGATGGTTGTCTTTGTCTCTAAAGATCAGTATATATATGTATCACTACAGTACGGTACAAAAGTCGCACAAATTTCTGGTTGCCTCTGTCTCGAAGGAACAAGGTGACAGCATGCACCCCTGAATCATGGTGAGGCAAGGTTCATTAGTGCTATCTTTTTGCATTTGCTATGTTGTAAGTAAGTGGCCCTTTTGCTGTAATAAATGGCAGAAAATATTCTGACTGGTGAGATAAAGATTATCATTCTTAAGGGTGGGGCTATTTAAGGAGGCCACTCTGCTGGTTTTCCATTAGTACAGTCATACCTTGGACTTACAACTTAGTGCATTCCCAAAACAGGTAAATTAGAACATGGGACATAATAGGGTTAAGTTCCTGGAATTCATGGATTGAACAGGTTTTTCAATATTTTAACCCATAGTAGGTAGCATAGTTGGTTGAGGCACTATGCTACAAGCCGGAAGATTGTGGGTTCAAGTCCTGATGAGGTGGACTTTTTTTCAATTTACCTAATCCTTCCATCTGCACTATGGCCCTGGGGTTGACTCAGCCTCTAACAGAACTGAATACCAGGAGTCTTCCTGGGGGGTATAGGGCAGCCAGTGCATAAGGCTGACAACCTTACCATAATCTGTGAGCTGACTGTCTAGATGTTGGAGCCTTGACATCTCACAACCCTATTACAGGGATAGCTTTACCTAGCAGGCTGAATTCTGCAATTTTTACTGCAAAAGCAATAAATGGACAGAATACAGTATTAAACACATGAACTATTAAGAATAATAGAAGTCAATACCATGGACAGGAATTATGATTCATGCAACAAGGGCATTATAACATGTCATAAGTCAGAAAGCCAACTTTTGATTCGACTGTCAAAAAATTATGATTGTAAGTCTAATGTGTGTTAATTTAATCAGACTGTAAGACTGAAAATTCATAAGATGGGGAATCATAGGTTGAGGAATGGCTGTAATTTATGAGATCAGGAGTCAAGAAATTTATAAGTCAGGAAGTCATACACAGTGTGTTAAAATAACAAGATAACACTTAATAATAAAAAGAAGGAAAGCAAAAGTTCATGAAAAGAATTCATTATGAAAATTATTCAAAATAGCTCCATGGGACTCTACACATCAGTTAGACCTCTCTTTTAATTGTTGAATGCATCCTTGAAATTTCTCAGATATTTATATCCTTGAGATGATCGGTTACATTCTTTTGGAAGTTTTGAACGGTATGAAACTGATGCCTCTTCATCCTCATCTTGAACTTCAGTAGGAGGAAGAAGTCAGCCAGAGCCAAATCTGTTAAGAGGGAGGGTGGTGGATCTCAGTAAACCCTTTTTGAAAAGAAATCTTTGAACAATTAATGTGGTAAGCACAGGTGCAGTGTTGTGCAACAAAAACCTGTTCTCATTTTCACAAAAGTCTGGTCTCACCTGTCAAAAATTCCTTGCAAAAGCCATTTCATCAATTCTAAATAAAATAGGGCATTTATGGTTCTTCCTTCAAGGACAAATACCTTGTGAATAATTCCTCTTGAATAAAATCTAATTACTTTTTTGATACAATGTGTAGGTTGAGGTACATCTGTACTCTAACAGAGCAACTATTTATATTAACAAAAGCTGCACTGAAATGAAATTGCAAGCCCTTCACAATTCAGCACATTGTTAGTGTGAAACACATCAAAGTTCAAAGTTCTCCAGCCATGTTGTAGCTCAAAATGGCACTCAATCATTGATACCAATGAATGAATGAATGTATGTATGAGGGGTAGGCCTTCTTGGCCCTTGCACCTAGACCTCAGTGGTCTATTGTGCTTCCCCTTTTTTAATTATTCTCTCAGCAACCCCATGCTTCGGATGAAGCGCAGGATTTTGGACGTGGGGGCGCCAAAATAGTCACTTGGTTCCAAAAAGGACTGACCCAAGTGACGTAGTCTTAAATAAGCTAAAGCCTCACATTCACACAGGACATGTGTGGCTGTTTCATTTTCTATCTGACACCTCTCACAAGTGGGACTATCACTTAGTCCCAGTTTGAACAGGTGTCCTTTAAGATGATAGTGTCCTGTAAGTAGTCCTACCACCCATCGTAGATGGTTCCTGTTGAGCTTCAACAGTTCCTTCACTCTTTTAGCAGAAGGTCCTTGTTATAGTATTAATAACAATCAAAATCACTTTTGTATTGATCTTGTTATAGTTTGAATGTTGGCGCCTTATATCTTCATATTGTGTAGAGGGCGCTCTTTTCCATTCTCTTGTTCCGCCAGTCTTCCACAAAGAAGGGCGTAGTGAATTAGTGATTTCAGTGAGAGTCTGACGCTGCCTGAGACTTTGTGTGTTCAACCTTCTTGTGATAAAAAGGGACATTACCCTGTCTCGTTCTTTGTAATTTTCTCTATAATTATTACTGTGATTAAACTAGTAAATTGAACTGACATTGTTATTTATTTATACTGCTTCCATCGTCTCAACAGTCCTCATATGAGTCTCTTTGCTTGCCTGAGTCCAGTTAAGGATTCCCAGTATTTCTTATGTTTTATGTTAGTCCAGTCCCTGATTGTCTGTTTGGCAACTCCTAGAGAGATGCCACAGGCTGGTTCAGGTCCTATGAATGGATGTTCGGCTCCAATTTTAGCTAATTGGTCTGCTGCTTCATTTCCAGCAATACCCTCATGCCCTGGCACCCATATCAGTTGTACCCTCTTATGTTTGGCCAGTTCCATGAGGGTTTGGTGGCAATCCCAGACCAATTTTGCATTGATCTGGTGTTTGTAAAGCGCTTTAAGTGCAGCTTGGCTGTCAGATAGAATGTAGATGTTCCTATTTCTATAGTTCCTATCTAAATTCTCCATAATACATGCTTTAATGGCATATATTTCTGCCCGGAATACTGTCGTGTACTGCCCAAGACTGACATTGATACCAACCTTCACAGTCTATGACTAGGGATTTTAAATATCCTGGTACTAGTGGACTGGCAGATAATTTTACATACCTTGGTACTAGCGAACTGGCAGACAATGGGAAAAGACTGAAATCTAGCATGACAAAATTATTTTGGAATGTGAATGTTAAAGTATGTTAAAGAAATTAACTTTTAACATACAGACTTATAAATTGCTGGTAGCCCTCTGCAGCCGGTATTTAAATCACCCTAATTAATTAACACTGCAAACTTTCTGAAAAAAAAAAAAATACACATTTTCCGTTCTATGCAACATAGAAATATGAACTAAAAACAGCCTGAAAGACAATAAAATTTTCTACGTATACACAAAAGAGCAACTTTTACAAATGAAAATTAACTGTGATTACTTTGTCATGAAGTGCAAAATTTAATGTTTAACATTTATGTTATGAAATTCCAAAGGACTTACCCGTTGTTTCTTCTTTAACCTTGAATCATGGTGATATTGTAAATATAATCACACTATATACAATAATATTTTGTTCGGACTGTACACGAGTTTGAACTGCGTCACTTCACAGTTTACAATACACTCTGACACGCAGTCCACCTCACACAAAGCGGCATCACACTTTTTACAACAGAAGAGCGTGCTCCTGCTTTTCTTATTTAGTGAAACACACAACATCTTTGTTTCCCTTTGGTTGGCCAGTGTTGTGAATGTTTCACCTCCAGTCGACTCAGTTGGGCCTCAGATAACCTTGGCCTCCCTGAGAAACGCCACTGACCGTGATATTCGCCTTGTGCGATTGAAGAATCGTCTTGGGGGAAGGGGGTTCTAGCAAAATCGAATAAATTATGTTGACTGACAAAGCGACACTCTCACCTATTGGTAATACTTGCAAAATAGTGATGCAAAGTAATTATAATACTAGTTGAAAAGGGTGCCAGTCCAACACTAATACCAAAAGTCACAGTGGCTAAGATGCCTTTTACTCAACAAGTAATACTGGTTCAGCAGGTTTATACCTCTTCCCAGACACAAAATAAAAATGACATACAAAGAAATATATGACAGTCTGACACTGACTTTCTAACTGATAAAGAAATATTAGACAATCTGACACTGACTTCCTGACTGATAATTCGCCACTGAAAACCAATCCTTGAATGCTTCAGACTTCCTTGAAGGCTCTGGAAGCACTCATATGCAAGCACCGATAAATATTTCCTCATCAGTTTTTGAAACAAAGCTGGACTATATTTAGCTGACCAGGTCATAAACAGTCATATCTAAACGTAAATAGTTTCGAAACCAGTACCATGATAAACGATTTCATTGTTCAGAGGTAAGGAATGAACCACTGACATGACCATACAAGCATTTGTTTTGGTTTCAAACCCAAGGTCAAACTGTCATCACTCCCAAAGAGAGCATGTGTCCTGCCACACACACACACTCCCAAAGAGAGCACGCACGCACGCACAGATATATATAACATTCAGCCGTTAAAGGTTATCTGTTATTCATTCATTCATTCATCAGTAATCTGTCAGACGACAGGTCCACAGTCTCTTCCAAAACAGTTCCACTTAAGGCGATCTTCTGTTTTTGGAAAGAGACTATCCAGGAAAAGTCATAATGTGGTAATTTTTCCATTTGCTTTCCACATCGCACTACAACAGCCGTTCAAACCACTCTGGTCACGCCTGTTGCTATACGAACTTGAACCATCTTGAGCATCATTTGCTCTGTGCTTCAAGTCGCTGCTGATGACGCTGCTTCCGGCATCAGTTTTTGGTTTTTGGTGTCTCTCTTCGTCTGATGCCTACCCTTTGACCTGTCCAGCAAGGGAGGCCCTGCCAGTAGCTACGCTACCGCTGGTATAGCTCTCAGGGTCCTTGGCATACTCAAACCCCTCACCACGATAAGGTGGTGACATCAACGAGGGGAATCTGTTATTATTTACATAAATTACATATTAATTATTTGAAATTACAAAGCACAAAGTATTCAAAGCCACTGCCTAAAGAGCTACATTCTTCACAACTACCACTAATATCACTACAGATGTTGTTGTCTTTACAGCAGTGAAAGTGGTACAACAGATCATGGCCACATCCTTCTACATTCCTTCCAATTTATAATTCCAAATCACTCTTCTATTCAAAACACTGGACACCTACCTCTACAGTGGTAGGTTTTATCATCCGCCGGTCATAAAGTCTGATGTACGGGTCATTTGCTCCAACAGCAAGCAACTCAGGACGCTGAGGATTAATGGCGAGACATTTTGCTTCAGCATATCGACCCAAATGGGTCAGCAGATTCACCAGTACATTGTTGACTTCTCTGGAACATGAATGTGGTGTTCGAAGATCAAATTGCCTGAAAAGAAAGAACATGGTCATTAAACAAAGTGATTATTTTAATCTCTTCACTGCTGAAGTGTTCAAAGTCACATGCTGAACAAAAACTGAGAAGAAAGAGACAAGAGACCCTCTACAGAAATCTTGTGTTCATCAACAATACAGTAAAATATTAGTCTGTACTACTTCAAGAGTATTCAGTGCCACAGTTTAGTACAGAAATTACACAAGGTGGTTCAAATATGACTGGGGCTGATTTGTGTGTAAACAAGCCGCACTGTGCAGCAGCTGTGCGACCTTGAGAGAGTGAAGCCACAACTTCCACCCTCCCTCCTGTTCAGTCCTGTCTGTGAGTTGCTAGAGTGATGAGTGAACAGAAGGTACCACGGAGTGTGAAATAATGCATTGTGATCAAATTCCTCGTTGGAGAAAACATCCCATCCGCTGAAATTCACCACAGACTCCAACAACAGTAGGGGGAAGAGTGCCTCTGACAGACCCATGTGTCTGAGTGGTTTAAGCACTTCAGAGAGGGCAGAGAGCGCGTGGAGAATGAATTGCATGATCATCGGCCGCGAACATCCGTCACCGAGCCAAACATTGATCATGCAAACATGCTTATTCGTGATAACAGGCGCATCACTATCAAGGAACTTGGAACAGTGCTGTCCATCAGTGTTGGTTGTGTAGAAGACATCATGAAATACCACCTGCACTATCACAAGGTGAATGCACGGTGGGTACCACGCACTTTGATGGACTGTTATGACGTGAAGGGGGG